AATTCAATTCAATTCAATTCAATTCAAAAATACTTTCTTGATCCCAGAGGGAAATTAGGTAATTAGGTTAGATAAATTAGGTAAATTATTGAGCCAAGGAGCAGAAATGGTTGCAGACCCTGGGCCTAACCAGTAACCCTGATCCCTTGACTTGAACACTGACCTAAACCTAAAATCTAATCCAACTTGTCAATTAATGGTGAGATGATTGATGGGATAATAAATTTCTGATTAAATACCCATATATGATAATGTGTTGGTTTAACAGCTGTGTTTTGAGTGCTCAGATTGGGATTAAAACACCTTTTTAGCTCTTATGAGACATTTTTATGGTGACAGTAGAGGAGCAGATGTAGTGTAAAAAACACACCTGCGTACGTTTTGCTCCTTTTTTTTGGTAACCGTCCAAATATCTGATCTGTAGTTTAACTCAAACTTTTGCTTGCACAGGTAAAGAGAGAACTGGCTGGAGTTCTCAACTTTGAGTCCCACRCAAAGGCAGGAACTGTATGTAAGTTTAATCATCATCACAATTASCCCGTGGTAATGATAAAATCAACTTATTACAAACATTGTTTCAGACATTCCCAGATTAGGTTACTAAAAAGCACTTTTTGTTTCTTTAATCTCAGTATTCAACCAGGGTGAGGAGGGCACATCCTGGTACATTATTCTAAAAGGTTCGGTCAACGTTGTCATCTATGGGAAAGTAGGTATTTTTCCAGACACAGTTTGTCTCACTTTAACGGATGRATCTATAAGCGATTAGTGCTCTTTCCCACACAGGGCGTTGTCTGCACTCTGCATGAGGGAGATGACTTTGGGAAGTTGGCACTTGTCAACGAMGCTCCCCGTGCTGCCTCCATCGTCCTGCGAGAGGACAACTGTCATTTCCTAAGGGTGGACAAGGAGGACTTTAACAGGATTTTAAGGGTGAGTTTYAGGTTGATGAATGTCGTTGTAAAATATGAGACCCTACTACCCTCTGCTGGCAGCCATGCAGCACTGCTACACAARAAGCCCTCTTATTCAAGCACCGAGATGAGACTGAGACCCACACCAACATACAGTACATCTGAAATAATGCTCCAGCTAATAAGAAGCTGATAACGACCCGTCTGTTGGAGTTAATTATCTGTGAATGCAAACTTGTTGTGTGGAAACTTTCCATCTGCGAGCTCTGATGGCTTATAAAAAGGTTTCCCTCTACAAATCAAGTATAATAAAATAAAACTTTTAAGATTGAATGTGTAGTGATGCTCCAGCAGGTTTGTGCCAAATGGGCAGACATGGGACATCTGGTGACTGACAATCCAGCAAATTAATTATAGGACTGTCCAACATGGTAGTGTTTCTGTTTGTCCTGCCTGAAGATGTGTCTTTCAGACGCCATCAGACTTCAGCCTGACAAATTTAAAAATAATTTTCTTTTAAATATATTTTTACAAGTCTGAGCACTGTTCAGTTTTTAAAGAAAAAATATTTTAGTGGAAAAAACATCTGGTATGTGCTCATATCAATGCATATTTGTACAGTTTTCCATATTTCAAAAGGAAATGTGTATGTAGTGTTTATTTAATTAATCATGGACAATAGAATATTAAAATGAATATCAATTGATGTTTATACTCCATCTATAAAGCAGATCAGAGCATGATTACCTTAAACAGCATCTCTGGAGGACATATTTCATCTTAATAAAATGTCTGTTTTATCTTTTTTTACTGTGTTTTTATTGTGGTACGAAGGATGTGGAGGCGAACACCGTYCGTCTGAAGGAACATGGTCAAGATGTTCTGGTGTTGGAGAAGAGTCGAAACTCCGTCCAAGGATCCTCTGCATCTCATTACAAGTAAAAGTTCCCACCACCCAGTCCAAAAAACATGTTAAACAGAACAGAAAATGTAGACAGACACATATTGCATAGCTGGGCTATTCAACTGGCAGCCTGTGGGCCACATTTGGCCTGTGAGTGACCAAAGTTCGGCCCACCCATTGGTTTATTCATCTCTTAAACCCAAAGCCCCGGTTTTCTACTTTAATTACTACAAGTTATTTTAGGTAAACATAGACGTCAGAATCATGGCCAGAAGCTGGTTGAACCATTTCTTTGAACACCCAAAACAGTTAAAATTACAAGCAGTTGAAAGTAAAGCTATGCAAGTGAAAATTAAATTGATTTAAAAATTTGGCAAGTCAGAGATGTCAAAATATTATTTGGGTTAAATAGAAGGCAGAATGTGTTATTATAGTTTTTGATATTGTTTTATTATCACTATTTTTATTATATAGGGTTCTGTATGTTGTATTCAAAATAAACTAACAGATCTTTGTAATACTTGGTTTATTTACAYAATAACTTTATTGCTGGATTTTCACCCCCTGTGCTGTTGGCCTGCATTAACTGTGGCCTCTGCAGCAATTTAGTTGAAGAGCCCTGTTATAAAGTTTTTTTAAATATAAAACCTTAGAAGTTTTAATAAAAATTGAAAGATAAAAAAATATAATTATGGACAAACTCSCTCTGAAGTAGGAGGATTGGTCAGTAAACAAAAAAGATAATATAGAACTAAACTCTGAACCCATTAGCTCATTTTGATCATACGATAAAATATTATTATTATTATTATATTTTATATTATATATAGTTTTTTACAACATGATACAATTTAATGTATTATAAAACAAAATGTCACAAAACAATACATGTCATTCATTATAGTACGTATACAATAGAAAGTAATGTAGTACAGTATGAAACAATACAATTTAAACTGATGAGATARAATTCAACATGACACAGTATAATGTGTTACAGTACAGTATAATATGATATACAGTAATGCATTACAATAAAATACAAAAAAAAAAACATGGGATACAATGTGAAACAGTGTAATATGAATATTATATAATGTGAATATATTTGGTAAACTTATACAAATCAAATCACCAACACTATATGGTGAATAATTCTCATTGTAAAAATACATTACYCCTTAGCTCCCGTCCTTCCACCTTTTTAGACATTTTTTTAGTTTGAGTAGGAGTAAATAGATTTTTAAAACATTTCTGTTCATATTTGTGTGCCAAAAAATAGAAGCTCAGACTCCAAAGGAATGTGTGTTTGTTAGAGAACAAACCATTACAGTGTGAAGGAGAGGAGGGAGAGGTTTTAAGTCCTAGATGTTGTTTGTGACACACTGACGTAAAAAAACGTGTAGTTTATTTCAAATGTACACATTAGTGGCACCGAGGAATAAGCTGAAGCGCAGCAGCTGTTCCAAACACAGCTCTAACTTAAARGCAGTTTTATTTGTTTCTTCTGGATTCCAGCACAAAGTGTGCACAGTGCATGCAGCACGAGCACAGCAATCCAGTCCTCTGCAGCCACGAGTGTWATCTTAATAGAGGCATCTGTCACTGGCTCACAGTGGCTGTAATACAGAGAGACACATTAATGGTAATGATGGCCTAGCTCCTAGGGGGRAAAGGAGGCTTGGCAAGTTACAATTACTTGTTCAGGGTCGCCCTCTAATCAACTCCACTCTTCACACATGAGAGTGTCAAGTCTGCCCCAAGAGAAGGGAAGACACGTCCTTGCTTTTGTAGCTCCCSTCCCTCTTGTCACGCTGTTATCAAGTAATAAAAACAGCCGAAGCTGGACTGTGTTGATTCTTCTTCACATACGAGATGCCCCTTTGTTTCTTTTTTTTTTTAATATTGGCTTCTTCTCCTGGCACTTATCCCAGACTCCTCTTCATCTTCAGCTACCCAAGAACACTGATTGTAAATCGGATTGTTATCAAATGAGGCAATCACAGAAACACTCTGAAGTAACACAAATCAGTCGAGGGGCCCAAGGCGTGTCATTAAACATTAAGAGCCGGTATTTCTTGATTAGTGAAGGATGTGTTTTTTGCTCTGTGCCGCTTCAGATACAACATCATGGCTGGGACTCCCGAAAAGATTTTGGAGCATCTTCTTGAAATGATGCGACTGGATTCTCAGTTCACAGAGTCAGGTACTGTCTGCCACGTCATGACCAGAACGTCAAAATGATACCATCCTATAATACGGCAATATCTGTTGTTTACACCTTTAATGTGCAATGGTTTTTGTCTTTGTTTGGGTATGTGCTTTTGTGTCTGTTTGTTAGAAAAAATATCTCATGAACTCCTGGATGGATTTTAATGAAATTTTTTATAAAGTGATCAAAAGATGTATGTCTACTCACAACATTTTAGAGCTAATCCAGTTCATGATGGCTGCCACTGCTAACTGATTGTGGCAGGGCCGGACCGTGGCGTAGGCAGTATAGGCAAACTCTAAGGGTGCTGTCCATCTGGGGGGCATCACAAATGAGGGACAAAAGAATATATTTTATAATTATTTTATCAGAGTATAGTTGATTTAATCTGTAGGATAATCGCTGGTTATTCAGGTTTATGAAGGTAACTTGTTCTGTGAGTTTCTCAGCCTGCTTTGTTACTACATGAAGTGTTATATGGTGCAGAGGATGTTCGGTGATAAAARTATCATATGATGCAGTCAGGACTAAACTCCTGGTGCTCAAATAAGGATAATGAAAGTTTCAGCCATGATCTCAGATAAAGTTTAGGTTAAAATCTGGTCTTCAGAGTTCTACCTTCATAAAACTTGGTTTCTAAAAATAAACAATAATATCAAAAACAAAACTATTCAATTTGGTCTGGTAATGTATGTAAATTGGCAGTGACATTTAGTAAATTGCTCAAGGGGCACCACCTGAAATCTGGCCTAGGGTTGCAAACTGGTTAGGGCTGTCCCTGGATTGTAGTGTACACAAAAAAATAATAAAATAAAATCAAAGACTAAAGCTCTATGAATTTTGCAGATATTAAGCTTTTTTTGTGATAGTAGCTGGCAGTCATTCACAACAAATACTCGAAGCATTAAGATTTTTGCGATACTTCTCTGGTATATGTTTGGTCTGCAAGGGCAGCAATTGAAATATAATCCTTAGGTCTTTAATTSTCCCTGGTTTTGTCTCTCCATCACTGCGACCTGTTCTGCAGTGACCTGTTTGTCCTCATCTGTAATTAGCTACACGTCACAGCGCTGATCTAATCACTGGTTTTCACTTGCCTGCAGAGTTGACAGGGACATGTGTTTGAAGGAGTCTTTGATGAACCTCTCTGTTTTCCTGTCACAGACTCAGCCTTAGATGATTTTGTGCTCATGCACTGTGTCTTCATACCCAACAGTCAGCTGGGTCCAGTCTTGAGAGACCAGTATCCTTCCACCTCTGTGGTGCGGTTAAGAGTCCCGATGAAATTGATGTGAAAAGCAACATTTGCTGGGGTCGTTCTTTAACTGCTCTGCAGCTACCACGCTCGGGCCTCGCAGGGCTCTGAGCAGGAGCAGCTGGACTACACGCTGAACAACAAGCGCAGGGTGATCCGCCTGGTGGTGAAATGGGCCGCTGTGCATGGAGATCTCCTGCAGCAGGAGGACAGGGCCTTCCTGGAGGTCAGTGGAGTCACAATATCACACAGGTGAACAGAAACTGTGTCAGAGACGTGCTTTTGTGCAGTCTTGTCTCTTTGAAAACCTAATGAAAAAGAAAAGTGTTCAGTTTACTCCACTGCGTGTTGACAACCAGACATACAGCGGGTAAAATAAGTATTGAACACGTCAACATTTTTCTCAGTAAATACATTACTAAAGGTGCTAATGACATGAAATTTTCACCAGGTGTCGGTAACAACCCAAGTGATCCATACATACAAAGAAATCAAACCATAAATGTCCAGAAATGAAGTTATTTGTAATAATGTGGAATGGCACAGGGAAAAAGTATTGAACACACTTACTGAAATTTATCTAATACTTTGTACAAAAGCCTTTGTTGTCAATGACAGCTTCAAGACGCCTCCTGTATGGAGAAACTAGTGGCATGCATTGCTCAGGTGTCATTTTGGCCCATTCTTCCACACAAACAGTCTTCAAATCTTGAAGGTTTCGTGGACCTCTTCTATGAACTCTGATCTTTAGTTCTTTCCATAGATTTTCTGTTGGATTCAGGTCAGGTGATTGGCTGGGCCATTCCAGCAGCTTTAGTTTCTTTCTCTGAAACCAACTGAGAGTTTCCTTGACTTTGTGTTTGGGCCCATTGTCTTGCTGAAATGTCCAGCCACGTTTCATCTTCATCATCCTGGTAGATGGAAGCAGATTTTTATCAAGAATGTCTCTGTACATTTTTCCACTCATCCTTCCTTCAATTATTTGAAGTTTGCCAGTACCATATGCTGAAAAACAGCCCCACACCATGATGTTCCCACCTCCAAACTTCACTGTTGGTATGGTGTTTTTGGGCTGATGTGCAGTGCCATTTGACCTCCGAACATGATGTGTATTCTGGCATCCAAACAGTTCAATGTTGGTCTCATCTGACCAGACTATATTCTCCCAGTATTACACAGGCTTGTTTAAATGTTGTGCAGCAAACTTTAAAGGAGCTTCAACATGCTGTTTCTTCAGCAGTGGAGTCTTGSGTGGTGAGTGTGCATACAGGCCATGGTGGTTCAGTGCATTACTTATTGTTTTCTTTGAAACAAWCGTACCTGCTAATTCCAGGTCTTTCTGAAGCTCTCCACAAGTGGTCCTTGGCTCTTGGACAACTCTTCTGATAATTCTTTTCACTCCTCTGTCAGAAATCTTGTGAGGAGCACCTGGTCGTGGTCGGTTTATGGTGAAATAATGTTCTTTCCACTTCTGAATTATGGCCCCAACAGTGCTCACTGGAACCTTCAGAAGTTTAGACATTCTTCTGTAACCGATGCCATCATTATGCTTTGCAACAATAAGGTTGTGAAGGTCTTGAGAGAGCTCTTTACTTTTACCCATCATCAGATGGTTCTTGTGTGATACCTGGCCATCATTTGGGACTGAACCAGCTGATATTAATTTGCACTGACAAGGGGCAGGCTTGCTTTCTAATTACTGAGAGAGTTCAGCTGGTGTCTTGGCTTTCCATGCCTTTTTACACCTCCCTTTCTTCATGTGTTCAATACTTTTTCCCTGTGCCATTCCACATTATTACAAATAACTTCATTTCTGGACATTTATGGTTTGATTTCTTTGTATGTATGGATCACTTGGGTTGTTACCAACATCTGGTGAAAATTTCATGTCATTAGCACCTCTAGTAATATATTTACTGAGGAAAAAATGGTGACGTGTTCAATACTTATTTTACCCGCTGTAAATACCAAATAGACTTGAATGTAAGAATGAGGACCACACATTACTAGTGCTGGTCCAACCACAGTTTAACTTCTCTGTGAGYGGCACCGAATCAGGAAATACAATCTTGTTTTTAACACCATCTTCAGACTCTGGCCCTGCCGATTTCAAACCATTATAACGCTGAGGGGGAGTCTCCCTGACCACGAGATCAGCTTCTCACACACACACACTTCCTGTCAGTTGAAGAGAAAAAATATCTTTGTGTGGTCAGTGTAATTGGGCCGTGTATTAACTAAGTATTAAAGAGAGCACATTCTATTTGAGTCAACCATAACATGTCACTCAAATCAGATTGTACCCCGACTAAATCACAGTTTAATCATAAAAATAGATGATTAGACATATAAGGCAGGATAAAATATATTCTATTAACCATAGAAATAAAATAGTATGTGTTCATTATCAGTAGTAAAACAGAATAAATTTCCTTCAGCTACTAAATCACATAGTTCTGACATAATTATCTATATTATGTTCGAAATAAGTAAAGCTAAAAGTGACATTATCATAGCTAATAATTAATGTTAATTTGTGTTCTACATAAAATATGCCAGATTATATACAGTTTTATTCTAATGAAACATAATCCTATTTAATATTTAATTTATACAGTGTATTTTACAGCTTATCGGTATTTACTTAAACTTTTTGTCCATGTTTCACCTCTGTTGAACCTTTATTTTACACTAAGCTTATTTTGTTTTGCAGGAATTTCTCCTGATGGTCTCTAGCGATGTCAAAATGCTTCCAGCCCTCAGGGATCAACTTACAGAGTTGGAGATCATTTCAAAAAGCAAGTAAGTCCACAATACCTATTAGAAACTAAATGGACAAGAAGATCGCCGTGGACAGGGACATAAACATTGTTTTTCTTGTATTATTAGTGAACGATGAGCCTTTCATGCAGTTCTTTGCTTTATTTACTTAAATTCCAGTCAAATGTTTTTAAGTTTGAGAATTTATCGTCACCAAATGTGAAATAGTTCATGGTTCTAAACACAATATCAAAGCACTGTAAAAGAAATTTGTTCTGTCGTTTCTGATTTTTTTCTAAATATTTTTAGTGCAGATGATAGATCCTCACAGAAAAAGGTATACAGCTTTCAGATTACTGTTTTAATGTACTTTTATTTATTTTTTCCTGCCTGATTGTGAATCCACGCTTACTTTTGCCACAGCACAAAGTCCTTTTGCAACTGTGCAGTATGGGGGACGAGAAGCATCAAAAATGTCAGCCCATTAAAGGTGATGATGAAAGTAAGTGAGAGATAATAATTAATGTAATATGAATTATTCCTTCAGCTAATGCATGTTTTACGACACTTTGCACGTCAAACTTATATAAAAGATCTCGTGTGAGCAGTCGAGAGATGACTTTAAAAGTTTTAAACGGTGTTGCTTGACACATTGTGAACCCTTAAGAGTTGTCTTCCTCATATTTATTCGGAATCATACCTCCAGTTCTGTTCAAAGTCCACTGCTGTGACCACACCTACACCACCATCCGGGTCCCCGTGGCCGCCTCGGTCAGGGAGGTCATCGACGCTGCGGCCGACAAGCTGGGGTCGGCAGAGGGTCTGATCCTGGTCGGCCTCAGCTCAGCGGGAGGTGAGAGCAGCTGCAGCTACGTGAGGAACAAATGGTTGGAGACAGAGAATACAGAGAGGGCATACGTGCTGCTTTAATAATCCCACCTGACTGATTCAGGAGGAAGTTGGTGACATTCTGAGGATGAGGAGCAACACTATCCGTAGATGCAAAAAAGGGCGACATAACATAATATAATATTAATATATAAGCTATAAATTATTTAATAGCAGTCAATAAGCTCAACACTACTTTTGCTCTGCCTTCATCTATAGAGTTATTTAACCATCCACTGATGAACACAAATGACCAAAAATGTAACTTTTTCTTATTTTCAGCATGTTGTTTTGTTTAACTTCATTGGAAAATGTCATGAAGTCAAAGATATATGGTGGAAACTTTTTAAATTTCAGTGAAAAACAAAAGCGGGACCACATACTCTGAACTTTTATTGGTTTACATGGTTGAAAATACTGATAAAAAACATATTTATTTGTGTGATGTATTGGTGTCATACAGTTTTATGAAGGTCATATAATGACATTCATCATAAACAGTTAATTTATTTATGAATATATTAAAATTAAGCAAACAATGTCACAAGATGCTGACGTGTTGGCAAGGAAAAACCCAGAGCGCAGGCAAAAATTGAAAGTGCAACAAAAAGGCTTTATTAAATAACAAAAAGGCTGGCGATGCAGCTCAACACTTACTTAGAAGGTCAGGAAAAACATGAAGACATCACACTGGCTGWGGGGTTGCAGCACAATGAACCGACAAAACACTGATGACAAGACTCAGAATATAAAGCAAACAAATTAAGAGACAATGGGAAACACCTGGGGAGACACAAGAGGAAACAGGTGAGCGTGGGCGGGGCCGGAAGGCAAGACAGCAGGGCAGAGATACTCAGGGGAACAGAGAAACACTAGAAAATGAAAGCAAAAACACACAGATGCACCCATTCATTAAAAAATTACAAGAACTTATTAAAGAGGAGTCTTCAATGTTTTTCAGTCTGGGACCACCAAATCAATGAAGAGAAGGAGAAGAACACTGTGTGTGTGTGTGTGTGTGTGTGTGTGTGTGTGTGTGTGTATATATATATATATATATATATATAGTATATGCCTCAAATGATCAATTTCCTACACGTTGAAATAATGGAAATGTGTGTTTAAAGGCGTAACTTTAAAAAGGTATTAAAAGATTTTCAAAATAAAATTTGCGACTCCCCCTGCAGTTTACTTTAGTTCTCTAAAAAATGCTAATGCAATAGTTTGAAGTTGTCATTTAGTTTTCACTCAAATGTTATTTGCACATTTTAGGATAAATTTTGCAAACATGGTGCTTAACTTGATTATTATTTTGATTTAGTTATTGTGATTTTTCTAAGTGTTAACAAATCTAGTAGTACGATTTGTGGTGCAATTGTTCCARTCACAAAAGTTTTAACTTTTTATTTTATTTTTTCAAACGTTTGTTTTGTTTGTTTCTTTTTTCACAGAGAAATCTATCTTTAAGCCAAATGATGTGTCCGTCTTCTCCACACTCAGCACAAATGGACGACTCTTTGTCTGCCAGAGGGACCAGCTGGATTTGTTGGTGTAGTAAATTATGACAAAAAAACAACTTGTGTTTAATCACCTCTTAATAGTTAAACCTACATTAACATCTCTAACTGTTGCTGTAGCATAATTTAATCACACAAGTTTGTAAAAYCTCTTAAATGTCCAATGAAAGCCTTTTTACATTTAGTAGATTTAATAGTTTTTTTCAATATGCGTGTTTTCTAGACCCCTCTCCCTGAGCAGGAAGGTCCATCCACAGGGTCCCTGACCWGTTTTGAGCTGATGAGCTCCAAAGATGTGGCGTACCACATGACCTGCTATGACTGGGAGCTTTTCCACTGTGTTCATGAGGTATTTTATACAGACAAGTAAAAAAAAGAGGTTAAAATATTGTTCCACTCTCTAAAGCAGTTGTTTTGTTTTGATATCTTAAAGCTCGAGCTCATCTATCACACGTTTGGAAGGCAATACGTCAAGAAAACCACGGTGAACCTGGATCTGTTCCTGAGGAGGTTTAATGAAATCCAGTTTTGGGTGATAACAGAGATGTGTCTGTGTCCTCAGCTGAACAAGAGAGTGCAGCTGCTGAAAAAGTTCATCAAGATCGCTGCTCAGTAAGTGGGGCCTTTTTTTTTTCTCTCTCTGGAGATTTTTATTYATTTATTTTTATTATTTTTACTTGAACCCTTTTTTGCTATCTTCTCTATCTAAGCTGCAAAGACTACAATAATCTAAACACCTTCTTTGCTGTTATTATGGGCCTGAGTAACCCGGCAGTGAGCAGACTGAGTCAGACCTGGGAGGTGAGTAATAGGCGGTTTGGTCACACTCCACCTGAACTGTATAAGCTGACTTGTTATCCTGTTTTTGTGCTTGCAGAAACTGCCCAGCAAATTCAAGAAGTTTTACGAGGAGTTTGAAAACTTAATGGTATAGTTAACAGTTTTTTAAATACAGTTAATTTATTTATACTTTTCCCCTCTTCCCTTTGCTTTCAGTCAAAATTAAAGTCAGTAATGACAGACCTGTTTAGCAGATCTCTGAACAGTGTCTGTGCTTCAACAGGACCCAACCAGGAACCACCGGGCCTATAGACTCACAGTCTCCAAACTGGACCCTCCCATCATTCCGTTCATGCCACTGATGATAAAAGGTTTTTACTTTTTTATTGTAGCATCTTGGTGACCCGTTCTCTTCCTCCTCAACGCCTCAATACAAACTTTGTCCTCTTTTCGTTTCGTTTCTTCCAGACATGACATTCACACACGAGGGAAACAAAACATTTGTTGACAATTTGGTCAATTTTGAGAAAATGGTGAGACTCTGCGGGTGTAGATTGCTGTCTAGCAGTTGCTGTAAACTTCCTTCTCCTTTTYCCCCCAGTTGTTTGTTTCTTATTGTGTCTCTCTGTTTTACAGCGGATGATCGCCAACACAGTGAAGGTAGTGAGACACTGCAGGAGTCAAACGTTCAGTAAGTTGAAGAGCTAAATTTAAAAAATGCTCTCTGACAATAAGAATGTAGTTTGGTTCAGCGTTTAGTGTGGAAATGACACATTTAGAACCAGCAGCGGAGGACAGACGTGGCATTCTGAGTAGATCAATAGTGTTATCAGGTAGTTGCTGAGCTGCAYGATATGCCGTTGGAATGTCATCTTTACAATGTACCTGTGCGCAACATTTACATTGCAGGTAGAAGGCAAACCACTAAACCATAAGCCATTGCAATAAATGTYTGTACGTTGCAGCTTTTATTTTGAAGTGCTGCTTCCACAGACAGAAGTGGACGGTTCCGTGTCAAAAAAAAAAAACATCTAAAATTTTACTTTTGTTGTGAAACTTCTGGGACAACAATGGCTGTGTTTTTTCTGAGAAGTGTTGTCGATGAATTTGTGAGCTGTGGAAGATGAYGAGGAACTTGACGAAAATGAGGATGATGACTAAATTCATAAAGAACGGGAGGAGAAGAGGTAAAATACGGTTAGCATGAAAGCTAATTTTAACGCGTGACGAAAACAGAAACTAGGATAGACACAGAGACAACAGGTTAGGTGGTATAAAACAGATTTGTAACGTGCACAAACAAGAGGTAAGATCGTTGCAGGTTCATCGCCAACAAGATGGCAGCATAACTTAAAGTGTTATTCAAGTCATTTGTTGAAAATTCTTTTATTTATTCATATTGTAACATATGGTTTTGGAACATTTGTATAATTGTATAGATAGAAAAAACAATGTTATRTGTCAACACAAGGTTTAAGAACATGGACTAAGGCTCAACAACATATTTTTGGCACAAATGGATCTCCATAAATGTCAGTTTTTTTCAATATTGTGTAGCCCTAGTTGAAACCTACAGGTACTTCAGTAGGTCCACACATACAGAAGGTTTAGGTTGCCCAAGAGAGACCAGAATTCAATTCAATTCAAAAATACTTTATTGATCCCAGAGGGAAATTTGGTCCCACAACAAGGCATTATGGCAGTCCCACAASAAGGGACTGTTGTCTTGTGCATCAAGCATTACAGAAATGTGTCATCTAAACACCTGGTTCCTGATCTGTCTCCAGCTGAACATGTGGGATCACTTCTTTTGTTAGAGTAATTGTCTTTTTTAAAATTTGAACCAGATCCAGACCCTCCACTGGCTGGGAAGCACCACCCTGACGTCTGGGCTTACGTTCGTCATCTCAGTGTGATCGACAACCAGAGGACGCTAACGCAGCTCTCTCAYGGACTCGAGCCTCGCAGGTCCTAACTGCCCACCCCTCAGGGTCGGACTTTTTTCACCCCATCCTGCTGCTTTCCCACAACATGACGTGCGCTTCACACTGACATGAATTTAGCCCAATCCAGGCAATCACATGGAGGACCTAATGAGGGATCAGATAATGAGATATTGTTTCACCGACTTGTTAAGCCTTTTATTACAGTAATCTGTGATTTTTCAACAACAGTAATTGTTGTGGGATGAAGTACCTCTCATATCGGTGTCATGCGGGTATCATATCAGCTGCAACTCAAACAGAAGAAGAAAATAAGGATCCCTGAGTGGTGGGAGTCTCATTTTGTAGATTAATGTGTAAAATCAAAGATGTAAGCAGTGTGATGATTTAGAAAACACTTTAAATTCCTGCTATGCATGTGTTTTGTATCTTTTTTATCAAACAATATTTGTACTGATTCTATTTATTCTGACTTCAGCATGGAGATGTTTAAAAATCATAAGCACATTTCTCCTTTAAAGKTTCAAATATAACAGTGTCTCCAGAAATATTTTATAAATATTTGTGTACTGTCGTTACTCTCATGCTCTGCTTTTCCATTGTATCACAATGCTGTTAGCATTTATAGCATGTCAACCTTTGTAACTTAACTTTTGTTATGAACAGTTTGAAAGGGTGAAATGTGTCCTTTTATGAGAACCTGAGCATAAAACAAGAACTTTCTTAACATCTCTGACTTATTATTTTTTTATGGAACGTGTTTTATCAAGTGATATTGAATATCTTAAGAGAAGGAAGCAGGAGACAATCACAGCTGTTAGGCTGCTAAAAAAAAGAAGATTGTCCTGCAGGGGTGCAGTGTCTAAAGTTTTAGTTGTGGTTGTTTAACGTGTTTAATTTAAAGTACATTTAAAACACCTGCTGGTGAACAAACTGCTGTAACTACAAGAAGTAACTAAATTAGCATGAAAGATAATTAAAGATTGAAAACCTCAATAACAAATAATCCGTTAAATAATAAGAATAATAAAACTCAACTTTCATACTGAATAAAAACAATAATAAATATGACTTTCAGGTGTGATTTACAAACAGTTGCCTAAATTAAGACAGACTCCCTAAGAGTCTGTAGCTAAAGTTTAAGTTTGACTGAAGACACTCAAATGAACTTACGTTAGAGGTAAAATCTGACCAATGCAAAAATGTCAATTAAAGCAAAATCACTTGCAATAAAGCAGAGGAATGAGTGATTTAAGCTGTTATATAACCACTGGCTTTAWTTTTGTTTTGATTTTCTTGTGAAGGAAAAGAAGCTTAAAGAATGTTTTTGGTTTTGTTTATCAAACATGTTCTGTTTGGTTTCATGTTTTATTTTGATTTTATTCTAGTTTYCTGTCCTGTTTTCTTCCTCCTGTCTGTCTTTGCWCCAGCCCCGCCCACTCACACCTGATCCTCATTTTTCTCTCCCAGGTGTTTCTTGTTTCTACTCATTAGTTTCTCTTTATATTCTGTTCAGTTCCTTGTTTTCTGTTTGGTGCTCATGGTCTTGTCAAAGCCCAAGCTCAAGACTTTGTTCATGTTTGCTGCCACGTCTGCTATTTGGTTTCTTTAATAAATATTTTTGCCACCCTCACCCAGTCCTGCAACTTGGGGTTCTAATCAACCAAGCCCAATCGYAACAACAAAACAGACTAAATGTTTCCTGAATTCCTCAAGGTCACACTGACAAAAGGATCAATAGAAGGGCCCAACAAGCAGGTTTTAGGCTTCTGTTCAGACACATTGATGCTAAAACTGGTATAGCTCTAATTCAGTTTAAAAATAAAATAAAATAACTGGGAATAAACTGAAGACAAAGTATTTAGATTCTGCATGTAATGACTGAAAATAAAATTGTTTATCCAAAAACCTAAAGTCTTAGTTCATGTAGAGAACTGAAAGTAAAATGAATTTTTAAAATCCAGAAACAGTCATTTGAGTTTGTGTTTCTGCATTTAAGAGAAATGAAAGTGAAATTAACATTTTTTTGTCCAGAAACATTGACCTAAAATCTTCAAATTTATTTAAATTTTGAACAGAAAAAAAAAATCCACTTGGATTACTTATTAATTGAATATGTTGACAGTTTTGTTTGTAGCTGGTGAAAGAGTTTAATTTTAACATTCTTAGACACAAAGCTCCACTTTTTAGTCTTTCGGTTACCAATTTGTTACCAAATTGTGAGGCATTTTGTTGTGTTGTAGTACTTGAAACCGGTCTTGGTATTAAGACTGGTCTCAGGACCACTTTTTGATGGTCTTGGTCTCGTCTTGGACTTGACAGCATTTGTACTCGGTCTTGTCTCGGACATTGAGGACTCTGAATTTTATTTCAAGACCACAACTGTGGAAATATCACTAAACAGCCAGATTATTGTCCAATTAATTTGATAACATTCTTGCTTTCTTTGCTTGCTTTCATTCAAATCCAAAGTTGACCCGTTGCTATTTTTGTGTTTTTGTTATCGGCTGTCATCCATCTGCACCCCCAGTCACTCAGTGAACCATGGTTCTCTGGGAGCGGTTAAGGATGTCTTCAAAATTAAGTAAAAAAATTTGGCTACATTATTATAAATAATATCATTGTAAAACAACAACAACCAGAAGAAAGCGTACAGCAACTTGTAAATCCAGCAGTGCTTTACTTTCAGAGACAGTGGGGACAACGTCAAACTTTTACCATCACTAACGTTAACARTCTGCCTCTGTAGCAAAATTCTTTCCTCTGCCCTCACACAAAGAGTTTGTCAATATTAGCTCTACATATTAAGTTAGCTAAGGTGGGGGAAAGTATTTAGTCAGCACCAATTGTTCAAGTTCTCCCACTTAAATAGATGAGAGAGGCCTGTGATTGACATCATAGTTAGACCTCAACTATGAGAGACAAAATACCTTTTCCCCCCACTGTACATGTGTACGCAATACTCCATCTTATAGGACACATTTTTTTCTGGTCTTGGTCTTGGTCTCGACTTGGTCCAAACCCTAAAAGTCTTGGTCTTGTCTCGGTCTCRCCMTCCCTTGGTYTTGGWCTCGACTYGGTCCAAACCCTAAAAGTCTTGGTCTTGTCTCGGTCTTGACCTCCCTTGTTCTTGGTCTTGACTTGGTCCAAACCCTAAAAGTCTTGGTCTTGACTTGGTCTCGGGTTAGGTGGTCTTGATTACAACACTAGTATTTTGGTCACATCACCCAAACATTCACTGGATAGTCACGTCAAGTGACTTGATGAAACTTCTTCTTCTTCAAAATAAATAAATAAATAAATAAAAAAAAAAAAAAAAACAAGAAAAAAAGATACATGTCTAGTCGTTTTCTATTCAAAGCCCTCAGGATTGCATTCAAATAAACTTCAAAATGTTCTTTATGGTTTATCTTTAATTTTTTATGTAAATGCTCAGATTAGGAAGTAAAAAAAAAAAGAATTGTTTGAATTTTTACGCCTAAAAGCGTGGAAGAAACACTGTACGGTGATGAATGTAGTTCATCTGTCCTCCAGCAGGGGGGGCTCTTGTCATCACTTTGGTTGACCGGAAAATGAGCAGCTGCGGTTGTGTAACCAGTAACACCACCACCGGAGAGCGTGGAGAAACCCTCTTCCAATGAAAGGACGTCACATGAGATTTTCCGGAACTCTGATCGCTCTCTTTCTTTTTTATTTTTTATTTTTAAACAAAGTTTTTAGCGTCAAACCAGACTGGACCAGCTCCAAAGACCCGGTTGCTGTGAAACTGGACACCGCKCTCTGAATGTCGGTATGTTTATATAAGGACTGAAACTCAGGAAAGTTAGACTAGAAGTTTAAATGGCATTAACCAGGTGAGGACAAGTGGTTGTAAATGGATGCATATCTTGTAAATTRCACGTGATATAATGTAGATGTAAATGTTGGGCTGCTGACTGTAATAAATAGTTTATAAAGTTGTAAATATCACAGAGAAATTTGAGCATTTACTGGATGAGCTCCAGTAAAATGTATTGATCACGTTTCAGACACTTAGATGCAAATTCACAAAGTAAAAGCTAATAATTGTAGCACAAAGATATTCTGTGTTCTGTAAAGAAACATTTTAAAAACTAATAACTTTTTTCTTTGGAGTCTTTTGGGRTGGAGACCCAACATGGTCTCAGGAAAAATGGCATGCTTTATACTTGTGGGGGTACATTTAAGATACTTATGTAATCACAAGGTACTTAACGGGTACATATATGGTTACAGGGTATTTAAAGGGTGCTGATGGGAGTATATTCAGGGGACTTTTGGGTTGGGTACAGGAGAAAATACAGGGTACTTACGGGGGTACATATGTGATACATTTAGTATACCGTAGATGTAACCATTAGAGTACATACATAGTACTTACAGGCTGTTTCTCAGTTCATCTGCATACGTCACTGCCCCGTGCCAAGTGCTGTCCCAATTCGAAGGCTCCTCTTCCATGCAGCCCACAAAGTCTCGAAAATCAAGGATGCATCCGAGTATCCTTCCCGGCTGAGGATATCCCAGGATTCCCAGGAAAACAACTTAGCTGATGAAATTCATGCTGCAATAAGATGCTAAATAAAACACAACTACAAGTACTGATACTTGAGCTAAACCCAAATCATTAATGTGTTTTATTTTTTTATTCACGTGTAAYGTTTTAATTGTAAAGTTACTCTTCCAGCGAAAAGACTTGTGAAGTTTCCAACTTTATTTTAAGTCTGATATGAAACTGATCAYYACAAGGYAGCGTGTGGTCAWGCAAACATGCCAAGRTTAGGCTAGACCGTCTCATTTCACAGCAGTTTCATGCAGCCTACCCACACTGGGTGGGATGTGGCCCACATGGCTCAGGTGGRCTAYGCACTCATGAGGATGCAGCCAATAAACTGAGGCGCAASTGCAGAGTATTTACTGGAGACTTATAGGGGAACATACTTATAGGGTATTTAAARGGTGCATATAGGGGTACTTATAAAGTACTGGTAAGGGTTGTGTTGTATTATGAAGCGACTCGTAACCCCGTCCTGTGACCTGCTTTATGTCTGCTTAAACTCCACTTTTGTTGCTTCAGTTTCATTTTATTGTCTTCATTGTACCAGACCCATGTTACAGGTAAGCTTTAAKGGTCATTTTCTGAATTTCTTACACAGTAAAGTTTCTTTACATGTGTTGTTGCTGCCTTTCAAGATGTAAAATGAAGACGAGGCCACATCCAGCCATTCCTAACTCAGTTAGCTCTGATTACCTGGGCTTTGACTTTTGGCTATCAGGTGTTATCGCTGCCCTTTTTGGACAGCAMTGTTAGCTATTAGGTGCGAAACTGGCAACAATGACTTTGGAAAAAGTGCTTCAAATATCCCAGTAACCCAGGCTTCTGGAGTGGTCGCACAATACTGGAAGGGCTGGGCCACTGAGCAAATTGCTTTGAAGCTAAGTATAGCACGAATCCAAGTAAATCAGCAGGAAAAAAAAAGTGGCTCCCCTCTGTGACAATGGAGACATTTCCCACTGTGATGGATAGTAATCCCAATGAAGACCGAGGTAACAGCCTTTTAAAAGCTGTAATTGCTCAGCTGTAAATGGGAAACCTAGGAACAAGAACAGAGCTGCAATTTCCCTTCAATTATGGAATTATTGTTTTTTTTTTTCATAAGATGCTTTTATGGCGTTACAGACAAATAAGAAATGTAAAAATCAATCTGTGTGRT